GGATAACGATAAGGATAACGATAAGGATAACGATAAGGATAACGATAGTGTTGGAAGTGGATACAGGTGATGTTGAGGAGGTATTCAAAAAGGATAGGAACCCAATGCAGGTAAGCGATGACAGCAGTGAAGACAGCAAACAAAATAAAAATGTATAGAATCGGGTACAGGCTGCAGAATTTTGGATGATCTGATATTTACATCGTGTGAAGATGAGTGGCTTGCCACTAGTATTCCCTTAAACATTCTTCAGTCCTCTTCTGAAGATGTTTATTCAAGGTTGAATACAACTCAACACGGACTAACAATGCTACTGCACTTAAATGAAATGGTTATTCCTCCTGCATCAGCCCAATGAGTACCAGGAAGCTTATTTCACATCCAGGCCTAACTCTGCAAATGTGATGGTCATATAGTTGAGACGCACATTAGGCATGGCTAACTAATTATTGCTACAATAAAAAATTCAGTGTAACAGCACCTCAGTTACAGCCCCAATCATATTCAATTCTACAGAAATAGCTGTAAATATTTAACCATGAGAGCAAAGCAGGGTCTCATAAGGATTCTTCGCCTCACACCATTACGAACTAACCAGACTATGAATTATTTTGCAGCTAGTAAATTTTGAATCACCCATCTCAAATTTCAGAATGAATGCAATGATAATTTATATCCTTGAATAAGGCTGGCTGCCTTGAAATACACAGATTCTAACAAACAAAGTATCACCTGTATGTTACGTTGAAAAATGTTGCATTCTCTTTTTTGGTTCTCCCTGCCATCGGCATTTTGCCATGTTACAGAATGTATTCCTTATCATAGGGCATTAATCAGGATTGTTCTTGTCTTTAGAGCAGCTATTAATTCTGGACTCTGTTCATCAATCCAACTGTACAAATTAAGTTTTTTTTCTGTCCCATCATTTTAGTTTAACCCAGTTGGACACACTTGACCGCATAAAAGATTTTCCAAGGCTTCCTGGTTGGATTGGGACCTTACCCCAGTTTGGTAGAGAACTTCTCAGCCAAGTTAGTGTATTAATAGAATTATAGCTTCTACTGTCACTGCCATAAAACTTTATGATACGTTGTTCTATATGATCTATGTCTACTATATTCTCTATGTATTAGTTTAAAAAACTTCAAAAGCAAACAAGACAAAAGAGTTGTCTTTTAAAAGTAGCAAAGTCAAATTACTTGTACCACAGAGGATTTGCTGATGTTACCTCCAGATGTCAAATACACAATAATACTGCCAGTATTTTTCTGGCACCTCATGATACAACAATGTTGAATGTTCGTACAAATAGAGTCAACTAATCTCAGAACTGTTATTGTTCCCAGGTCACACAATCATATGGTGGGTGATTAGTTCAAATTCCCTTTTGTATGGATTTCTGGAAAACGTACCATCGCTACAGAGATTGCATCCCCTTCAATATTTTCCAACAGCCTGCGGCCTTGGCCACAGGAAATGATATAATTAAGCAGTTAGACATATTTCTTTCTTTGCGTGCAAAACAAAACTAAGACAAATCCAGACTTTCCAAATTCTCTCCATGTATGTTTCTCTCTAACCCTTCAAGATGATATGACTTTGCTCCTACTAGGTGTCCTCTGGGACCTTATTTTGTTACTCTCACGTGTGAATCGAAGCAGTTAGAGAAATATAAAGCAGAGTCCTTGCTTGTTACCCATTGACTGACTGGTACAAACACATGGGTTGCAACACAGTCCTTTGTCAGGTATCAGCTGTCTCTCCATTAGTCGAACACACCAGATTCAAAAGGTTCTAGATTCAAATTCAATTCCAGAACATAAGCACAAAAATACAGTACTGCACTCCCCATCTGCTCTCTTACTTGGATGTAAAAGATTCCAGAGGACTACTTTGGAAATCAGGTGGAGGGGAGGGGCATGTACTCTTCTAAATATTTATCCAATAACATCCAGACAGAGAGAGAATCTCGAGCTTCCTGCACATATTGGCTGCCATGTTTCCTAACTACTGCAGTGGCAGCACTGCAAGAGTACTTCACTGGCTGTAAAGCACTTTGGTACACCCTGTGGTGGCAAACTGCACTACAGAAATGTAAATATCTCTTCTTTCCCAAAACTCACCACCTTGGCACTCAGATTTGAGGGGCATTTTGTCCCTGGCTGTTAACTATCAGCCATCACTCTCCATGACAAAGCCTTTGCTGATCAGAGTTCACTTGCCAACCAATCTGTACTCCCCCCTCATGCAGTATAGATACCAGTTTTCCCCTTTGAATTGGTTTTCTTTTGAATTGTCCTGATGTGTACAAGACAAAATGTATCTTTCTGCAGCAATACAGAGTTCATCAACTTCCCTAGCTACCACCTCAGGCTGGGTCCAGAAGCAATTAATTTTACAACCAACTGAGCAAAACCACTTACTTCTGCAGTCTTTTCCAACTATACATTGCCACAAATTCTTCCGCTCCTCCAGCACCTCCTTTACTTTTTATCTCATGTTGTCTCTATTCCATCATTGGTATCTCTTCTTACAGCTCTGTGACCCTGTCATATGAAAATTCCAACTTAAAAATTCCCTAACCATACCATTCTGTTTGCAAAAATCTCAATTAAAAAAAAACTTATTCCTTTAATCATGTCGCTGGGCCCCACATCCACTCAGGTGCTTTTTGCATCTTCCTGATATGCGCATTTATTGTTTCCCAACATGACAAACAACTTTACAACATCTTTTGATGCAAGAGGACAGCTTTTGAGACAGAAGCTTTTGAATTGAGCCAGTTACAGCTGGAGGGCAATAACTGACACTGACACCCTTGGTAGGAAAAAAATCTCTGGCAACCCATTTATTGCTTACAAACACCAGAAAAATGTAGAGGCTGGCTTAGATGATGATAGAATTAGGACTTGGCTGTGAAGTCTGCTGACACTTAATACCTAAGCTTTCTCACAATAAATTGCCACTTGGGTGGAAAGGGGCTAGTACCAGTGAAAATGGCTTCCAAATTATAATTAGCATCCTGAAATGGGAGAATAATTGTAAAAAACGACAGTGACATAGCTCATTACTGCATGAATGCCATAAGCCAAGCAGTTACAGAATTTTATTTGGAGACAATTACCATTGACAGAATCAAGAATAAATATTCATGATAAATACAGGGAAAACAGTTGGTGAGGATCTAAGCAATTTAAAACCAACTCCCACCTCCAATTCATCAAATGTCTTGCCTGATCGTCTACCAGTAAACACCTTATTTGGAAAAACCAAGGAAAAGATCACCTATCTACCTTGATCTTGGAAAGC